TGGTTTAGCCAAATGAAAATGTGTGTTCTAGCTTCCTTTAAGTCATCATGTTTTTGACAAAATAAACATAAACTAGTCCTGAGTGCCTAGGCGGACACGTGGAAATGGGAATTTCACATTAACCTAATCAAAACAGTCCCATGAAAGAGCAGTGAATGAAAGTCTTGGTCTAGAACAAATTGGGCACTGTCTAGCTTTGCCATTTCTCTGGGCCTTGTTTCTTTATCAGAAAATGAGGAGCTGAACCTAGAGATTTTCAGTGAGTCTCACAGTTGAACCAGAACACAGATTTCTTTGTTGAAATTCAACTAAGTTGAGGGCCTAGCAGCGGTTCTTAACCTGTGGGTTGCGAACAATGAAAATACATCCTGCATATCAGATATTTACATTACGATTCGTAACAGTAGCAAAATTACAGTTATGAAGTAGCAACGAAAATAATTTTATGGTTGGGGGTCACCACAACATGAGGAACTGTATTAAAGGGTCGCGGCATTAGGAAGGTTGAGAACCACTTCCTCCAGGCAGGGAGCAATGTATGACCTGAAAATGGGATGTGGATTTCCCACTGCTGATGGGTCCTAAGTGGAACACCTTGTGGGTGCTTAGTCCAAGGATGTGTGTTGATGACAGTGCTGTCTGACCCACGGTCAGCTGGATGGGCACTTTGAATAGTTCCTCTTTCCTTCAAGAAGTTAGGCTGGATGTAGGAGGAATTAGGATTATGATATATACTAGAGGCCTGGTGCACAAAAATTTGTGCACTCGGGGGGGAGGGTGGGTCCCGCAGCCCGGCCTGTGCCCTCTCGCAGTCTGGGACCCCTCGAGAGATAACGACCTGCTGGCTTAGGCCTGCTCCCGAGTGGCAGAGGGCAGGCCCAATCCCTAGGTGCAGCCCCTGGTCGGGCTCAGAGCAGGGCCAGTTGGGGAGTTGGGGCGCCGCCCCCTGTCATGCACAGAGCAGGGCAGATTGGGAGGTTGTGATGCCACCCTCAGTCACGATCAGGGTAGGGCCTATTGGGGGGTTGGGGCACTGTCCCCTGTCACACTCAAGGCAGGGTCGATGGGGAGGTTGCGGCGCCACCCCGTCACACACAGAGCAGGGCCAATCAGGGGGTTGGGGCACTGCCCCCTGTCACTCGCAGAGCAGGGCCCATCAGGGAGGTTGGGGCTCTGTACCCTGTCACGCACAGAGCAGGGCCAATCAGGTGGTTGGGGTGCTGCCCCCGTCACACACAGAGCAGGGCCCATCAGGGGTTTTGGGCACCGCCCTCTATCACCCACAGAACAGGGCCAATCGGGGTTGGGGCGCCGCCACTCTCACACTCAGGGCAGGGCCGATGGGGAGGTTATGGCTCTACCCCGTCACACACAGAGCAGGGCCCGTGGGCGGGGGTGGGGGGGTGGGGGGGTTGGGGAGCTCCCCCCTATCAGGCACAGAGCAGGGCTGATCAGGGGGTTGGGGCACCTTCCCCTGTCACGAACAGAGCAGGGTGGATAGGGAGGTTGTGGCCCCACCTCCTGTCACACACAGAGCCGCAGGGCGATCAGGGGGTTTGGGCGCTGCCGCCTGTCACACTGATCCCGGTGCTGGGAGGCCTCATGGCTCCGCTGATCCTGGTGCTGGGAGGCATATTACCCTTTTACTATATAGGGTAGAGGCCTGGTTCAAGGGTGGGGCCGGCTGGTTTGCCCTGAAGGGTGTCCTGGATCAGGGTGGGGGTCCCCACTGGGGTGCCTGGCCAGCCTGGGTGAGGGGCTGATGGCTGTTTGCAGCTGGTCACACACCCTTCAGGGTGGGGGTCCCCACTGGTGTGCCTGGCCAGTCTGGGTGAGGGGCTGAGGGCTGTTTTCAGGCTGGGGGTGACTAAAGCTCCCAACTGCTCCTTTTTTTCTTTTTTCTTTTTTTTATTCTGGGCCAGCTTTAGCTTTGAGTCTTGGCTCCAGCTCTTAGGCCTCTGTGGCTGAAAGTAGGTTTCTGGCCTTTGCTTACAATGTTGTGAATCTGTTGGCTGAAGTCCGGCGGTATTCTTTACAGAGTTTCTTAAACTGCCCGCTCAGAGGCCTGCAGCAGCAGGCGGGGAACGTTGGTTTCCTCCGTCACTGAGGCAACCAAGCCTCATGTTAGTTTCAAGCTGCCTGGCTGCCGGCGCCATCTTGGCTGACAGTTAATTTGCATATCTCGCTGATTTGCCAATGAAAAGGGTAGCGGTCGTACGCCAATTACCATGTTTCTCTTTTATTAGTGTAGATGCCAGGAATGAAACTCATTCAGGATGATTGTGGTCACGTGGGTTAGAGTAGGGGCTCTGAAGTGGCAGTCTCTTTGTTCCCATTTCAGTCCTAGTCATATGCTGTGTGACTTTGGGCAAGTTGGGTTTTACTGTGTGTTTTTCTCACTGTGCCTTAGCCTTTTCAATGTAAAATAGGGAGCATGTAATCTAATTACATAGTTTAACTCTACCCCTTAGAGTTAAAAGTGTGGAGCAATTGAAACAAATGTCTGATACACAGTAAGACCCCATAATAGACAACTGTTCTCTTTTTATCCCTGCATTAGAGGCCCAATGCACAAAATTCATGCAAAGGGCTCGGCCCTCACAGCCCCAGCCAGCCCCAGCCTGCCCTCGCAGCACCTCTCAGTCTTGGCCAGCCCTCGCAGTCCCAGCTTCGTCCAGAAGGTCGTCCGGACGGTCATCTGGAAGGATGTCCAGGTGGACATTCTGCTGTTCAGTCTAATTAGCATATTATCTCTTTATTATATGGGATAATATCAGGAAAGAACCTAATACTGATCTTCCAGCCCTGCATTGGCCATCTGAAAGGAGAATTGGGGGCTGGGGGGAGGGGCGAGTGGAAGGGGCTCCCGAAACGTCTGTGTGTGCAGGAAAGATGGTGTTTAAACCATTCCTCAGAGATGGATGTTTATGCTACTCTTAGAGCTCTTTAGGGAATGAAATTACCTCTTGCTTGCACAGACCTAATTCAGTGTCTGACAACTTTTCTCACTCTGCAAGTTTTTCTTCCTGTGTGGTTTAGTTACCTATTGTTGCAGTTTCAGTTTGGGGTGAAGGAAAGGATATGGGTTTGACTCTGAGACACGGGTTGGTCTGTGGAAAACCTATTGGGTTGGACTCAGCATTCCCTCTCTGCAAACTGGTGCGGGCTCAGAACATCACTTTTGAAGCCCCAGAGGCTTTGTGTGCACGTTTTCAGGACCCCGGATGGAGGGTGGAGGACAGGGCAGCAGGGAGTCAGCAAGGAGCCAGGATTCGTGGCTGTGGACTCTCACCCCAGCCATAACCTGAGCAGCTTCATGTTTATGCTTGCTCTGTATTTGCATAAGAGATTTCACTAGGAGAAGGAGTTCCACAGATAAAAGAGACATTTGAAAACCTGGAGGCCCCAATAAGCCACCTGGTGTGACCTGTCACTTGGCAGCTACTCTGTTGCTTCTTGTCTCAGCTCCTCTGTGCTGCCTGTTCAAAAGTTTCAACATCGTGTGTGTGTGAGTGTGTGTGTGTATGTGTGTATGTGTTTCGTGTATGTTTTTGTGTGTTTGTGTTTCTGTGTGTGGGGGGGGTATTTTGTGAATGTGTGTGTGTGTGTTTTTTTATATGTTTGTGTGTGTGTTGTTGGTATATGTTTGTGTGTGTATGTGCATGCACATGCTTCTTTGTTCACAGTGATGATAGGAGAGGGAGGGTAAATGGAAAGATTTACGGGGAGAGAAACTTTATAAATCCAAGACATAATGATTATGAGACTGGGAAAAGTCCCCTTTAAGAAGTATGGGGGAATAATATTGACTTAGCCTGTGGGGTTTTCATTTCCAGCCTGTATGACGGGGCTACAGTGATTGAAGCCCAAGGTTGATCAAGAGAAGAGCCATGTGGCACACCCCCACGTAATGAAATAGGTTTGGAGAGACATGGACCAAATAAAGGAGTGGTTACAGTTGTGCACAGGACAATTTATGTCTTCTGGGTGCTGAGCAGCACAGGCTTGCCAGAGTTTCCCTCCCAGCCCTGTTCTGGGTAGGTGTCCAAGGAGGGGCTCGATCTCGGAGCACTGCATCCTGATATCTGACAAACTCACAGCTCCTGGTATTTAAGTTATGGCTTCAGAGGGTAGACTTGGAGCATAAGGTTCAGAAGAAAACTCTCCTGCCAGCCTGACTCTAGGACAGGAGTCTTGATCTCTTCCCTGGAGATGCAGTGAGAATGGGAGCATCACTGTGGCCAGTAGGAGTGGGAGGCGGCTATCTCCCAGGTCAGTGGTGACCCAAAAGTCATGTCAGATGGTAAGGTTCCTGCACACACTTGGATAGAAACTTCCCTTTAGATTGGTCCATGGCCTTCCCTGCTGGGCAGTCACTTCGATGGAGATATTTAAGGTTAGGCTGAGGATGGCCTTGATTCTGTGGGTTACACTCTATTGGGCACTTTACACTATTACCTAACTTAGTCCTGACCACCACCCTTGGAGGTGTCTCCTCCATCACACAGATCGGGAACCTGAGGTTTCGAATTTAGAGGGCTCACTGATTGTTGGTGGAGCCAGAGTAAAAATATGTACACAATTGATTTTCAGATGTGAGAGAGGGAGAAACCAGATCCCCTCACACTGCTAAAAGAATTGGTCTGAAAGTAGCTTTGCATGGATCAGATTTGCCTTAACAGACTAACCCTTCCCCTTTTTTCTGAAGCTGAAACACACACACACAATCACAAAGATGTCTTTATTCAAATTGTTTGCTAAGTTGGAAGCAACTGTGGAACACTTGAAATGATGCATTGGTCATCCCAGTCCCATCTTTCTTTCACCTCAAACACAGGTTACAGCAGACTGTCCCTTTTTGCTAAGTGACACTTGTTACAAGTGCTTCTTGCACCTGAATGAATGAACTAGTGAGTGACTGGTGGTGGTAGCAGAGGGGCAATGCCTCTCTGAGGGACTAGCTCACCATCCCCTGCCTCAATCTGCTTTCCTCTCTCCAGGGTGGCATGATCGCGCTGCTGCTGTCCATCTTATGCCTGGTAATGATCCTGTACACTCGCCGCCGCTGGTGTAAACGCCGCCGGGTCCCCCAGCCCCAGAAGAGTGCCAGCGCTGAGGCGGCCAATGAGATCCATTACATCCCCTCTGTGCTGATCGGCGGGCATGGGCGGGAGAGTCTGCGCAATGCCCGTGTGCAGGGCCACAACTCCAGTGGCACCCTGAGCATCCGGGAGACACCTATCCTGGATGGCTATGAGTATGACATCACCGACCTGCGCCACCACCTGCAGAGGGAGTGCATGAATGGAGGGGAAGACTTTGCCAGCCAGGTCACCCGCACCCTCGACTCCCTGCAGGGCTGCAATGAGAAGGCTGGCATGGACCTCACACCAGGTGGGAACTCCTTAAGAATAGGGTTTAGATCATCATTGTCTCAGATTCCCATAGCACCTGGCCTGATGCTAAGCCCATCAAGTAGCCCTGTGCTGCTCAGGGGTTACAAAGTCAGCTGCTTTCAGAAAGCAAGCAGATCTCACAAACATGTGAATGAGCTGGATGTCAGACAATAGAGACTAGTGCAGACTGTGGTGATGAGAGGGCATGTTCTGGGTGAATACACTCAAATTACATTCTACAGTCTGTATCTAGTTAAAGGGCTATACCTGGTGACCCTATCCACACAGAATTAGTTTAATTGAACTTCCAGTTGGAATTACTTTTCCTTCATTCTTTTCATAACTTTGTGGTCTCCTAGAAATCAGAGTATTTCCGTCTCTGCCAACCTCTCACTTGAAAGGTTCCTTATTTTAATTCTGTGAAAATCACTTCCTTGGTTTATGCAGATTCCCTCGCTCTCTCTGACCTTCTCCTCTCAAAGTTCTTGCCTTGACTTTTTCTTACACAGGGAGTGACAATGCCAAGCTGTCGCTGATGAACAAGTACAAAGATAACATCATCGCCACCAGCCCTGTGGACTCCAACCACCAGCAGGCCACACTGCTCTCGCACACCTCCAGCAGCCAGAGGAAGCGGATCAACAACAAAGCGCGAGGTACCCGGTCTGAGGTTGGGGCATGCAGGTAGATTCTTTCCTACTGGTGGAGGCAGGATCCTTAATATACTCAACCACCACTCTCATGCAATCTTTTCTGGGGCACTATTGAGTATGAGTTACCAAAAAACTCAAATAATATATAAACCTGATGCCCAAGTAATTTCATCAAAAAGAATGTACCCTTAGGAAATAATTGGAAAAAATATGCATATGTGGTTGTCAGAGACTCTTTATCACATTGTTTAAAAGAGAGGAAAATTGGAAATAGCTTCAGTGTCTATAAAGAGGGAACTGGTTAACTGCCTGCACACTGTCTCCTGTCCAGTGGCCAACCACGCAGTCATTTATGACAATAGAGATTGTACCTGTTAATATGGAAAGTTGGCCTCTCATTTACATGACATGGGAAAAAATGAGGTCATAAAAGAGAAGGTGCAGCGGAATGCCATTTTTAAGGGGAGATTTAATAAAGTTCATCTGTTTTTGTATCAGAAAAGGCAGACTATATATATATATATCTCAAATGTTAAAAACTGGTATACATCAGTTTTTCTCTGATTTAAAAGATTTAGGGGACATCGGGGTTGTTGCTTTTACATATTTTTGTGTTTTTTTCTTTATTATCTTCTCTCTGCACATTGAATATATATAAATTCTAGAACCAGAAAAAATATAATATCCTATAGATATTAAGGCTTCTAGACATATGCCCCTTAAGGCATAAATCCAGTCTCATATCAACCAGAAGCCTGACTTGGAATGAGGGAAGTTTCCCTTTCTTCCTTTTCCACCCACCATCTATGCGGGCCTGCCCAGTAGGTAGCTGTCAGCAATAGCCTTCCTTGGTAGAAGCATGGGCTGGGTGGAAGGAGGGCTTTAGTGATTGATGTCATATAAAAGTTGATTTCTCCAATAAATCTGTATCTCAGGAAGCTCCAATTCCATGGTTACTCCTCCCACATTGTCAGTCAACCTGCTCTCATTTTTATTGATTTTTATCTTGAACTTGCCCAATGATGTGGTGCCATGAACACAAGACTGAAGATGTTCTTTGCCATGGTCCTATTCATTACAGCTGGTTCCGCCTTCCTGAACCCTGAAGGGGATTCTGGCACAGAGACAGAAAATGACCCCCAGCTGACCTTCTACACTGACCCCTCACGGAGCCGGAGACGCAGTCGAGGTAGGAAGCGAAGTGTGGGGAGAGGAGCTCTGGGAAGGTGAGGGTAGGGAGCTGCAGAGGTGCTGGTTTGGGTTGTGGGCTCACTGCTCCAAAGCCAGTTTACAGAATGATTCTTGGACTCTAAGTGGTGCTGTGTCCTAAGGAAGAAAGAAGAGCCTAGAGTGGACTGTTTTGGAGACTCATCTCTCCCAGATAATGGCACTCTCAAACAGGTTTCCAAGTTGTTTGAAAGGCTATTTCTTGGTCAGAAGACTCTCAATTCCTTCTGGAAGCCTCGGGAGTCTCATATTTTGCTGTTTAGAGATAGGAAAAAAGTTGATAAAGTGTGTTATATGTGAAAAAATGGACAGGGTATGTACCCTTGCTTACCTGGCCACACTGGCCTTGGGTTTGGGTGAGGCAGGGATGGGGGTGGGCAGGGTAATTAAGGAACAATTTATTGAAAACAAAATGCCCAGGCCCTGCCTGAAAAATGTGTGTAATGGTATTTGCCCTTTAATCCCCTCCCCAGTGGAATCACTGGAGCCCACACCTCCAATTCCCTCTTCTCCCCTGGCAGGGTCCAGGTTAGTTCATTTATTCTGTTCAGCATCGATAGGGTTGTCCCTCCATGCACTCACTGCCTGTGTGACTCCACTTTGATGTTTAGTGGCTTCGGATGTGGCTACTGCATCTGTGGCTGCTACTTATGACTTGTAGGCATCACCATCCTCACTGAGAGAGGTCTGGGTTCAAGCACCAATCAGCTTGCTGTGTGATATTGGATAAGGACAACAATTTCTCTGAGCCTCCGTTTCCTCACGGAGGAAATGGGTTAACAACAGGGCAACTGTCATGATTGAATTATATTAAAATGTGCTTTTTGTTTTTTTTGCTGACCGGCAAAGGTCTATGAAATTCCTATTGTTGCTGTTAGGATTCTCAACAGGGCAGCCTCAGGTTCCCACAACACTTCATCTTAAAGAACTTTGGGCAAGGGCCTATTGAGATACCATGGATGATGTGTGAGTAACATCACATTATATTATGACCAGTAGAATTTTCCCCAACCAAAAACCAGTGCCCTCAAAAGGCAGCTACATGTTGGCTCCTCCTGCCTACACTTGAGTTCCTTTCATACTGAGGGCACTCTTCCCAGAGATTGGAGGAAGCCCTTTTAAGTCCTCAGCTCCAGTTTCCATAGGCTTTGCAGCGATCAGTATAAAACTTCTTCCTAACATTTTTCTCGAGAGATCGATGGGGCTCTGGGCAATGCAATGTCTGATGCTCTGGTGTCCCTGAGGAGAGAATGTGGGCCCTCTGGTCCTCCTTACATATTTATATATAAGAAATAGTCAACCTGGGCTCATCAGCCCAGGCCACACCAAAGCAGAATGTGTTCTGCTTTAATAAAATCCTGTTTGAGAAAGACCATAATAATGAGTTAGAGTGAGTTTCTATGCAGCACAAGACTACTACTTTTAAATACCAAGGTCTCCTAGCATGTCAACTATTTATTGCTGCTAACTAGACTATAAGCTTCTTAGGGATGGGCATGCCTAATTTATTTTACCAAAGTGCCTAGTGGAGGATTTGGTCTTTGATAGATGCTTGAAAGTGTTTGTTCAATTGAACTGGATACATCAATCAGGCCAGCAAGAAATTTCATAACCTACCTGCCATGGGTCAGGCTGTGTGATAGGTGGTAGAAACATGAAAACATGGCATGGTGATAAGTCTTAATTTAATAATATAAATAAAGGAAAATGAATACTTGGAAGTGAGAACAGTACATTCTACCTGGCAGCAACTGGAGGCAAAAAAATAAAAAGGAGAAAATAATTGCACCTGGGTTGTATACCATATAAAAAATTTATGGAACGAGGAGAACCTATGGTAAGGGCATTCCAATAGAGGAAAGTGGTGTATAAAAAGCCTTAAAGATACAAAAGAACAGGGTATTTTCAAGCAAGTGAAAGTACTTCAGCCTGGCAGCTGTAACTCGGGATATGAATACACAGCAGGGAAACAAGCTGGCTAACTCAGGATCACCACTTATATGCCATGTTACCAAGTCTGCTCTGGTTCTGGTGGTCCTAGGAGTGACTGGAGATTCTGAAGTTAGTTGGATGATGGGTTGATAAGCAGAAGAACTAGAGAGACAAGAAGATGGGTAGCCAGTTCCTGCCAACACAGGAGAGCAGTGGAAAGTGGCCGTAACAGCGATAACACTGTGTGAGAAGAGCTGTAACAGCAGGGCGTACTGAGGGCTAGAGGAGCAACAAGGAATGAGTGAGAATTTGTTCTTAAACATTTCAGGGAAGTGTTTACAGGGTGCTGTTGTTCGAGCTGAGACTGAAGAGTAGGTGTAGACCTGGCTGACAAGGTGATGAAATGGCATTCTACGGGGGGAGGAAGTGACATGCGTAAAGTCACAGAGACATAAACTTAAGGGTCTAGTTGGAGAGAAGTGACTAGTTTATTAGAGTGAAGCTCATGGTGCAGGTCTGTGGTTTGCTCAGGAAGGACGGCTGGAACGTCAGAAGAAAGCTCATGGCCTTGACTACAGGACTTGGACCTGACCTTTCAGCTGTAGTCGATAAGGCTTTAAAGATCACTGTCCTGTCCTCTGCTGGTGGAGGGTCCCTCTAGGGCAGCCTGGAGGGTAGGTGAGGGTGGGGGAGGTTGAGGCAGGGAGGCAAGTGGATGGCTATTGCCATTGCCCAGGTGTGAGATGATAAGTATAAGCAGGGAGGGAGAAATGGGGGCGAGGGAAAGTCTGAACACAGAATGAAAAATGATTTAGTGTCGGTGGTGGGGAGGGTGGGCAGAGTTGGACATGAGGGAGTATTAGGACTTGAGAAACCAAGTAGATGACAATGCCATTGGCTGAGCAATGAAGCAGGAAGGGGAGTAGGGGTGAAGGGAAGTGGAGAGTCTAGTTTGGGATTTGCACTTGAGTGCCAGAGGGACATGCTGGGAGTGGTTCTGCTACTCAGGCCTGGTTTGGCCAGGAGTCCACATTTGTAAGTAAGTGTGGAGAAATAGACTCCATGCTCAGAGATAGTAGCTTAAGTAGAATATCTCCAGGTAGCCAGGGACAGAGGATCCAGAGGCTGCCTGCTTTCCCCCAACCCGAGTCTCTGCCTCCCAGCCCCTGCCAGCACACCCACTTGGGGAACCTGCTCCCATAAAGGATGGTGAAGCCATGGACCCAGGGATCGGGCTGTTGCTAGGGCTCAGACTCAGCTGGGCCTGCACTCTGTTCTGGCTCCACTCCTAGTAGCAGCTTGACCCTGGACCTGCCCTATGGCCTCTCTAACATATTATTTCTCTGTGGCGCTGCCTCATGAGATGGTCATTGTCAAGTGATATGAGCCACGAGACCCTGGTCCCTGGTCCCTGACACTCAATATACTTCGTTAGTGTTAACTATCACTATGAGGTTAATCTCTTTGAGACCTATTTTCTTACCTGTAAAGTGGGTAGTGACTGTGCACACATAGATTTATTGTAAGGAAGTATATATTCAAAATTTCAAAAGTACGTAAAACAGCATATTCTCAGATATCACAGATGCCTTTTATTTCTATCAGTAATAAATATTAACACAGACCACAAGACAAGTCCAAAGGACCAACATATTTTGTTGGCAACTCCCTTTGCTTTCTTCCTTTCCCACATCTGTTCTGCCTTCATGTGAAATCATCTTCACTGGTACCCAAAACAAACAAAAATCACACTAAAACCCCTCCTTCCCATCCCTATCCCCATCTGACTGGGAGTGTTTCTCATTCCCCAGCTCCATTATTTTCTCATTGAGCTTCCATTTGTTACCTTAACCCAGTGACTGGGGAGAGCCTTCTGTTGCAATATCCTCAACTCATACAGAGTGGATTTGCCTCAGTTACCTCCACCCACACCCTACAGAGCAGAAACTCCTACCTATTAAAATAGGTGCAAGCTCCTTAAGCTCAGGAAATTACTGGGAAGTGAAGGAGCTGATTTGGAAGCGTGCCCTCTGGGACAGCTGTGGGAAGTGCAGGGAGTTCAAGCAGGGTCCTGCCACCCTTGGACAAGAGGTTGGAGCTCAGCCAGGTGCAGACAGGGGGAGAACGCCCTCCTTTATCATTTCTCTTGTGAACCTGGCCCAGGGGGACTGCAGATGACTTGCACACCACTGACCATTGTTGACCCTGAGGGCCACAAGTAGGCCAAGTCCCCTCTGATTCTGACCCATGCCATAGTGTTCCATGAGGCTGAATGTCACGGAGGTCATGTGGCTGCACACATCTGTTGCCAGGGTTTGCCAGCTGCCTCCCCTGTTTGCTGGGTTGGGCAGCAAAAGACTAAGTTGGCTTCTCACTAAAAGATGTTTACCGCCACGTATCTTGCTTGTCTTGCTTTCAGTGGGCTCTCCCCGAAGTCCTGTGAATAAGACCACCCTGATGTTGATCAGCATAAGCAGCTGTGTGATCGGCCTGGTGTGCTCCTCCCATGTCAGCTGCCCGCTCGTTGTCAAAATCACCCTGCATGTCCCTGAGCACCTAATCGCTGATGGTGAGCCCACTTCTGAGATGCAACTTCCTTCCCAGTGAGGAAGGTTTTGGGTTCGGCAAGAGGGTATAGAGAAGCCAGGGTCATGGTTATAGTTACCTATGACTATAGATGAAGGGAAAATAAACACAGATAAATAGGCTTAGGACAAAACTGGATTGTTCACTGTGAAATCAAAAAGCAGGTTAAAAATACTGAACAGGTCACCTCTTCTCTGTGCACACTCCGTTTCCCATTTCTGTTGTTTGTCAGTATCCCCCATCTTGGTAGAAAAATGCAGAGCATCCCAGATCAGGTAGGTTGATACAGATTCCTGTAGCCCCTGATAGGGGAGAAGCTGAGTGGAGGAGCAGAGGTATTTCAGAATCAGCCGTGCCTCAGTTTGGTATGCCCTGGTGAGAAATTCCTAATTGTAGTAACTTAACTAAAACTCCATAGTAACAATTTACTCTAATCCAGGAGACTCCACTATAATGAAGGAGTGATATAGGTTCTGAGAGCTCCCGGATTAGTTCAGGCCAGAGCACCTGAGCGACTTGCTAGAATCTGTTTTCTTTATGGCTGTAAGGCTGAAAACAAGTGGGGACTGTCCCCACTGTCAGGGGGCCTGTTCTTTAATGGCCAGTAAATATGGGCAGCAGGTCTTTGTCCTTGGATGAGTGCCAGTGCCTGTGGCCGGGTCTGATGGAGCAGCGCCATGACCATCACAGAGCTGCTGTGCCCCTGGATCCCTTAGGTCCACCCTAGTGGGCATGACATGGTGCAAGGCAGCAGGGGACAATGCAGTGAGACATCCAAGGGGTGGCCTTGCTTCCATTTGGTGGTACTTTTCTTGGGTACCAGCTCATGATGGCCCAGAACTAGTAGAAGGAATGGCCTTGGACTGGGGCTAATCTTCAGAGAGTGTGTATGTATTTGTGCTTGCATGAATGTATGTGTTTCTTTGTGTGTGCAGGTTTGTGTGTGCGTGTGTGTATATGTATGTTTGTGTGTATATATTTCTGTGTGGATATGTATATATGTTTTATGTGTGTTTGTGTGGATATGTATCTGTGTTTATTTTTGAGTGTGTGCTTCTATGTGTTTGTATGTTTCTCTGTGTATGAGTATTTTCTATTTGTGTGTGTGCTTGTGTGTGTTTGTGTGTATGTATGGGTTTTTGTGTGTGTGTGTGTTGTGTGCACTCAGGGCATGCCTTCTCTCTCTCCCCTGCAGGGAGCCGATTCATCTTGCTGGAAGGGAGCCAGCTGGATGCTAGTGACTGGCTGAACCCTGCCCAGGTGGTTCTCTTCTCTCAGCAGAACTCCAGTGGGCCGTGGGCCATGGACCTCTGTGCCCGACGGCTCCTGGACCCCTGTGAACACCAATGTGACCCCGAAACTGGTAGGCGGGAGCGCCGGGCAGCGGGTAACTGTCAGAGATCATGCCTCTTGCAATCACCTTTTTGAAACCCAGGCAGTCCCTCCCAATTACCCCACTGCAATTGGGGGCCTAGACCGGTCGAACTGCCAACATCGTGGGCCCCTGAGCATGTTGGTTTTAAAGGTGGGGTCATCTTCTGGCAGAAGCCTGGGGAGCATCCTAATTGTAGCCCCTGGCCACACAGATCAGTTTGGGATGATATCCGCAGCCCATTAGCCATCCAGTTGGGATGTCCAATACTAGGGCTAGATTTCTTATGCTTGTTTATTGTAGAAAATTTGGAAAAATCTAGCAAAGCTTATAGAAGAAAGTTATAATCATCTATAATTCTGTCTCCTGCAGAAATCATTTTAAAATTTTCATGTCCCCTCTTCTATTTTTTGTCTATGCATGATGTTTAGAGGCCTGCAAGCACACAAAGTCCAGTTGTGTTTTCTTTATTCTTCTTCACTTATTCTATCATGAAAGTTTTCCAGAACATTAAACAATCCTCAGTAGTATAATTTTTTAATGGCCTTTTGGTATCCCTATGTGTGTGCATATTAATGCTCATTTAAATAATTCTCTTATTTGACAATTAGGATGCTTACAATTTTTAATTTATATAAATACTACTAAACTGAATATCTTTCCACATAAATGCAGGATACATTTGAAGTTATTTTCTCCCGATAAATCTTAAAAGAGGATTACTGGTCCAAAGGGTATAGACATCTTTCAGGTGTTATATCATCAAATTGGGCAGGGGCTTCACTGAGAGGGTCCACATTCAATGTCATACATCAGGACCTCAGTGCTTAAGCGCCAAGATGTCCAGCAGTATGGATCCCTCCTTCCAGGAGGCTTTGCATTTCACTGTGGAAGGAGGCGTCTACAGTCATCTCTGTAAGATTTGTTTCCAATAGATTCAGGACAACAAATAGATCTTTCCCAGAGAAGTAGTCTGATGCATTAGAACAAAGGAAAGGGATGTAGGGACAACTCCTCAAGAGAAATGTTGCTGGAGGCAGGGGCCAATTCCTCATGTACAGCCCTCCTATACACACACACACACACACACACACACACACACACCTGATATGCATCTTTTTTTTAGATGCTAGGACTGAAGTTGAGTACAGGAGGTCCATTTAGTCCTTCTGTTATAGTCCACTAGAGACCTGGTGCATGAAATTCATGAACGGGTAGGGTCCCTAGGCCTGGCCAGTGATTAGGGCCTTCTGGCTGCTGGCTGGGGCCTTCCTTCGTTCTGTGCTGTTCCCTGGTGGTAAGCACATGACATAGCAAGTGATCAAAGTGTCCTGAGGGGACACTTTGCATATTAGGCTTTATATCTAGACTAGAGGCCTGAAGATTCATGCACCAGAGAGAGGGGTCCCTCAGCCCGGCCTGACCCCTCTCACAGCCTGGGAGCCCTCAGGGGCAGTAGGCAACCCGGCGATCAGGGGAAGGCGATGCCCCCATCACACCTCTGCTGCTGCCACTTCTGGCAGCACAAGCCTCAGCCAGCCCTGGTTACCTGAGCCTCAGGCGGCTCTGGGTGGCTGGGCAGCTGCCATCTAAGGCTTGCCTGTGCCTCAGGCCTGCCCTAGCATCTGGGCAGCCAACATCCCAGGCTTGCCTGTGCCTCTAGCCAGCCCTGGGTGCCTGGGGGGCTGAGGGCGGGTCTGGCTGCACCGCGTACCTGCCAACCCCCCATCCCCCATGCGGGGCTGAAAGGACTGGGGGACTCCGGCGGGGCTGAGGGGACTGGACGCCGCCATCTTGTGGCTATGGGTGCCGCCATCTTTGTGATGGTGTGATGGTCAATTTGCATATTCCCTCTTTATTAGATAGGATTATTCTATGTTTTGAGGGGGGTAATGGGTCACTGCAACATCTAAAGTTCACCTTCTTAGGTCTAAAAGTTTTCACGTGGGCCCATTGCAGATTCCAGGCCCCCATATGGAGGAGAGAGTACAGCATTTTGAACATCTGATGTTTAAGGCTGTGCTTACTTGCTGCTCTTCCCACGCTGTCAGGCAAACACCAAACCAAACAGATGGGCTGTGCACCAGACCCAAATCCATTGTGCTTGGAAGAAAGAAAACGAGTCATCTCAGAGGTGGGGGTCTCTCCATGCGCTGAGGTAGTCTCTGGTCCCCCCACAGACTTGAATGATGAGAACCTGGGACAATCTCAGTTGTTAGACTCATGTCTCAGAGAAGCATAATTGTCAGAAGGCTTTGGAAGCTTCTGAGGTTTCTAAGAGCAGGAAGCACTAATTACATGTGGAAAGAAGGGATCAGTATTTGCAGCTTGGTGGGGTTTCAGAGATAAACTGCCTCCTTATTTTAGATCGATGCTCGAATTCCCCAAGAAGGCACATGACTTGTCCAAAGTCCCACAGCGACCCTTGGTAGAGTCTATGCTCTATTGTTAAAGCAGAATAGATGTGGGATTATAAAGGGCTGGTCAATTTCCCATGTCAGATCCAGCACACTTGTCATTCAAAACTTATACGCAACACCATTACTGAGCATCACTGCTTCCTTAGCCAAGAGCTCAGGAAGCTGAATGTCCACAGGGATGCTGCCGTTCCATCTTTGGTGCCTCCCAGATGTCTCACTTCCAGTCCTTGCTGAAATGGACTTTGGGTCAGTTCCCCTGCTAATGGCTTCCCAGTATCCATGACAATTAATGGATTTCCAACTGGAAAGCTTTAGAGGGAGACTAAAAATAAGAACCAAAACCCTACAACAGAGCTGAGGCACAGAGTCTTCATTTGGGTTAGCAGCTGAGAGATGATGGTGCGGAGAATTTTATTTTCATTAATGCTGGAATTAGAAACGCTCCCTCTTTCCGCCTTGATTCTCTGGGCACATGGGATGATGTGGTCATCCCACATGCTCATCAGCAAAAAATTTTATCACCTCCCACACTCCATCCTAGAGCCTTTCTCCAACGAGCTGGGTGTGGGAATTGGCTGCAAGTCAAGTTGACGTTATTTTTGTAATCCTCCAGCTCACTGGGAAATGTCATAGTGTTGGAACATGTGCTTTCCCAGCCATGCTGAGGGGTCCGCCCATGGAGATGGGTGGAACTGGGCAAGGGCACGTGAATACTTCTCCATACAAACAGGCACTCAGTCTCTGCAAAGGAGCCACCTCTGGGGCCTGGAACATTCCCTGGGCATCCTTCCAAAGTCTTCCAAAGTTAGGCATGTGTCTGCTCATCACCTGCACAGTTGTCTGAATACCAGGTGTGGCAGGATAAGGGGCCCCCAGAGATGTCCACGTCCTAACCTCTAGAACCTGTGACTGTGGTATGTTACATGGAAAAGATGAATTGAAGTTGTAGGAGGAATTTAGGTTGCTAAACAGCTGCCTTTAAAACACAGCCAATGTCATCACAAGGGTCCTTAAAACTGGGAGAGGGAGGTAGAAGAGGAGGTCAGAGTGATGTGATATGGGCAGGACCCCACCAGCCATCGCTGGCTTTGAAGATGGAGGGAAGGGTCATGAACCAGGGAATCTGGGCACCCTCTAGACCAGGGGTGGGCAAACTTTTTGACTCGAGGGCCACAATGGGTTCTTAAACTGGACCGGAGGGCTGGAACAAAAGCATGGATGGAGTGTTTGTGTGAACTAATATAAATTCAAAATAAACATCATTACATAAAAGGGTACGGCCTTTTTTTTTTTTAGTTTTATTCATTTCAAACGGGCTGGATCTGGCCCGCGGGCCGTAGTTTGCCCACGGCTGCTCTAGACAGTGGGAAAGGCAAGGAAACAGATTCTCCCCTAATGCGTCCAAAAACAACCTTTAGACCAGTGATGGCGAACCTATGACACGCGTGTCAGAGGTGACATGCGAACTCATTTTTTTTGGTTGATTTTTCTTTGTTAAATGGCATTTAAATATATAAAATAAACATCAAAAATATAAGTCTTTGTTTTACTATGGTTGCAAATATCAAAAAAATTCTATATGTGACACGGCACCAGAGTTAAGTTAGGATTTTTCAAAATGCTGACACGCCGAGCTCAAAAGGTTCGCCATCACTGCTTTAGACATAGCCCAGTGAGACTCATGTCAGATTTCTGACCTACTGCAAAATAATACATTTATGTTGTTTTAAGCCACTATGTTTATGGTAATGTTTATGACAGTTATGGAAAACTAATATACTAGAAAAGAGAAAATGATAGAACAAGAAGGAGCATTGTTGTGTGACCCTTCATATCATTCCCACCCAATTTATTGAGGGTGGTTTCATAGATTTTGTGAAGATGTTTCTGGAATCTATGGGAGAACCTGGGCTGAGGTTATTTGCTGATCTGTTTTCCATTCCAGCCACCCTTTGCCCTTCTAGGAATTGTGCTATTGGGGTGGGGAGTGTAATGTGGCTAAAGTTCTTAACTCAGTGCCTAGAAGCCCTTTGCCAACTGCATATTGATGTTCTCTCCAAATCCTTCCAGATCTGGAATCCTAGGTGTGTCTTTGCTCAAATTGGGCTAACTACAAGCTCTAAGGTCGTAAAGCTTTACGCCCAGCTGGATCCAGCCAAAGGTTGACTTTTCCTGTACTTTCTAAGGGTTTTGTTGTGGTTGTAGGTTTGTTTGATTATTTTTTTATGGAGACACAGACCAACGATTTTGGTGACCTTTCTCTGCACTCCCTTCCTGGCCTCAGTTCTGCCATGTGGACAGCTGGGAAGTCTTCACACATCTTCTCAATTTCACAGACCCTCATTGTCATTTCAAGATATGTAGGTTTATGGTCTGCCAGGAGCACAGCCCTCCAAGCTCAATTAAGTTGTAATCATCACCCAAGATGTGTCCCTAAATTTCTTTTGTCCCAGATCTTTCCATAAGCCAGTCCCCACCATGCAAAAATGTGTAAAATCTGGTGAGGCCATTGACCAGTTTTCCAGACTCAACCTAGCCCTCCTCTTTCTGTGCTCTTAGCCACTGCCTACTTTCCTCTAGCTTTCTCTAGTTTTTGAAACCAATTTGGCTGGGTAGCACAGCCTTCATTTTGTTCCTGTCACCTAGAGTGCCCGCTCACTAACGCATCCTTTTGTGGCGTGATTAAAACACCTGCCTTCAGGATGTACGTTGGGCTCATTGCCCTCTGTCTGGCCTCCCAGAGTCACACAGGATTGCTTGATTCTGGGCCTGGCTTTTGCCTGATATCTCCACAAGGAAGGAGATAAGGCAGTTAGATATTACCCAAGTCCACGTCTTGCAAGAATTGCCCTTTTTAGAGAAAACACACCCAATTCCATCTTATGAAAGCCCTCATCTACCTGAAGGAGAGAGGGAACTCAGAACTTACAGCTTTCCTTTGTATCCAACTCACAGAGAATGTGTGGTGAACCCAGTCGTGTGAGGAGCCCTAGCTATAAGGTCTTTCTCTAATCCTTCCATGAGATTGGTGCCTCAGTCCTCAACTGTAAGCAGGAAATGGCAAAGGTGCTACCCATCATACAAGGTCCCTCGAGGTGTCAGCCTTCAGGTGACCAAGCACAGATCAGTGTGGCCATCTCCAGGTGGCGCACAGATCACCTCCTGGTGGGCTTCTGCCCTCTGGTGGTGTGGTTGCCTGTGAGGGCATCCATCCTGTTTGGACATGTATTTGTGGCTTTGACACCCCTTTCCATTGGATCCTATGAATACTGCCACAGAGTCAGCACGTCATGTGTTCCCCGCCATCTGCCGCAGCAGATGCAGAGACTGTAACACCTCTAGCTTAGGAGGGCATCCAATATCCTTGTGGGGTCTTTAAAATTCACAGCTACCAGTAGGAGCTTGTGCTTGCACGACAACCCTCTTAAAGTCAAGATTTTGTAGTGGGTTGCCATAGCAACTTTCCTCGTCAAGTCTGATCTCCCTACAGTCTAGATGGCCAAACTGGTTCTGAGAAGTGATACAGAAGTCGCAAGTTTGGTGGGTTCCAGAAATGATCATTGAGAGGCAGATTTTGGATATCCTCAAACTCTATCCTGATGTGTTGGAACATGTCTCTGTTGCTCTGACTTTGATCTGCATATGCCATTATATAGAGAAAAGCTTTATCTGTTGTCAGCAGTGTTTCCCTACATAGGAGTGAGTGAAGGAAACCTCATAAGGAGATAATGACTATGAAGGCAGTTTGAGAAATGTAGATGTGCCTACCAATGGTAGATATTGGCATCATTAGGAAAATCAGGCTCTGCTTGAACTCTGAATTGTTACTGCACTTACTCTTACAAGTTTTGTTGTAACTAGATATCAAATGTAGAAGAAGGACTCCCTTTTTTGTCAGTCCTTAATTCTAGGCACGGTATCCAACCAAGGCCATTCTAAGAGTCAGAGTAGAGTGATGGATTTGACAGCCTTTTGAGGTTACCTCTTATTTGTAATATCATCTCTTGTCTAATGTCCACGAGGACAGTTAGGAAATTATCTCCTTTAGGGAGAAACATAGCTGGGCCCTAGAACCATTAACTGGCTTAGATATTTGCATCTTGGCTGAGGTGGTGGTGGTGGTGGTGGTGGTGTTACCTATAAATTTAGGGCAAATTAATTAATTTCATTTGGAAATTAATCCATTAATTAATTTCATTTGGAAATTAATCCATTCCACAGTATTTATAAAAGTCTTACTCATATGGGGGAAAGCTGACATTGTTCTTGCCCTTATCTAGTTTATAGCCTAGAGTTCATGCTTTCTTTGGAATTAATACAAACAGCCTTCATTTGAAAGCCTTATCAGCTGTCTAATTTTAAGCTGTTTTTTCCTGTGTTCAACTCATAGCTGCCTGAGCTCAGTACCACTGATGCCGGTAGATTGTAGTCTGTTGTGGAGATAGCCCATGTGGAAGCCTGAATTTGCTAAAGTTACTAACCTGATGGTTTCTTTTGACTCCCCACTAACTAAGAAATGACTCATTTTCACTGCACCCCTCAGCACCTTGAGCAGGTGTGGGGGAAGAAAATGCCTGCCATCTGGGAGTGAGGAGCTGATGGACAGTGATTTATAGGTCAATCTTGAAATGAATAGTTGAGCTAAGATTCTGTAAGCACCTTCTCAGAGTCTACTCAGCTCCTTTCCTCAACACTTCATTTGCCTTGTTTTTTTTCTTTGAAAAGAGAAAAGATCACTCAAAGCTATTATTCTATTAATATCCTTGTTAAGTGTCTCTTAAAAGGGAGATACAGAAACTATATGCCCCTGGTCTCCTTAGGGCAGTGATGGCGAACCTATGACACGCGTGTCAGAGGTGACATGCGAACTCATTTTTTTGGTTGATTTTTCTTTGTTAATAGCATTTAAATATATAAAATAAATATCAAAAATATAAGTGTTTTACTATGGTTGCAAATATCAAAAAATTTCTATATGTGACACGACACCAGAGTTAAGTTAGGGTTTTTCAAAATGCTGACACACCGAGCTCAAAAGTTTCGCCCTCACTACCTTAGGGCATAGCCCCTTTATTATTTACACATTTCAGGAAATCACACCCTACAAATGAAATAATCAGCCTGTAAAAGAGTTAATGCAAGTGCTTTAGTGGAACTGGTCTTTGTAGTGTAGGGATTCATAGTATTGCATAAGGAATTATTAATATGAGGAAGCAGCAACAATATTCAAGATTAGAGCTAAGCAGAGCAATGGTTCTTAATCTTGTGGGGCTCTTGGATATACTTGTAAACCTGACGAAAGTTATGAAATTTTTGACAGGAAGCTGCATATATATATATATATATATATATATATATATATGCAGTTTAGCATACAATTTCATGGGGATTGTAGGCCTCTTGGTATACTAATGGGGTAACTAATGATAATGAAGCATAGTAATATCCTAAACAAATATAGAATTGTGAGTGAGCCTTCTGTTTAGCAGCCAAAATGATTATCTTCTTTCATTTAAAAACTAAAACCCAGAGTCCCTGTAAAACCATAATTAGTTTAAGTGGCCTCCTGTATAGTAGTTGTTCTGTGGACTGGCAGCACGGCATGATTGGAAAATAGACCTGGAGTCAGACGGACATAGATTGAAATATTAACTTTGCCATTTACAGGCTGTCTCCAAGTCCCTTAATTTTCTGAGCCTCAGTTTCCCCTATCTGTATAGCATAGTCAATAATACCTACTTTTCAAGATTCTTAGAAATGTTTGATGAAATAACTCACTATGCACTCTTTATTTTTTTAATATTTTTTTTCTTTATTGATTAAGGTATTACAAATGTGTCCTTATCCCCCCACTTCACTATGCACTCTAAACATTTACTGATCGTCGAAAGTGTGTCTGGCAGTGTAATGGGCACCGAGGAAATAAATATGAACAAGTCCCTCTGCTCAAAGAGTTCCCAGGTTTTGTGTTTACAAGACACGTATACCAGGTGCTTTGTCAATGTTAGCTCTCTCTGGTAGTGAACATTATCACATGACGGAACTTGGAGGGATGGGTAGTGTGTTCATTCATGTGGGCAGTGGAAACAAAATGTATGACATCATGGGACTTAATGGTCTCATCCGTGTCACTGTAGAGCCCAAGTTTGATTGTCTCATATTAATTTTCCCCAAAACAGACATGTTAATCAATTCCCTTATGTTTCTTTTTCTTTCTCCTTACCCTGCCTCTAAGGGGAATGCCTCTGCTACGAAGGTTACATGAAGGATCCAGTACACAAGCACCTTTGCATTCGGAATGAATGGGGGACCAACCAGGGGTAAGTGAGGGGATGGCATGGTAGCCAGTCCCCAGATGTCACCCCTCTGTCACACAGGCCTGAGGTGGAGTCACCACATGTAGGGAGACAGAGCTAAAGGGTGGTTGGTTATATTCTGAACAGCGAATGGGTAAAAATGTCATGCTGTGTTTCCATATTTATACCATCTTAGTGACGTACCTATCAGCTTTTTCTCCTCTCCATTGACAAATTCAGAGATGACGTCTCTGACTCACAGCCCTCAGCTGGGATTTGAAAGCCAAGCTGTCCCTCTCCTTCTTGTAATAGTGTCGCCAGCCACGAGGATCCCACTGGCAGAATGTGGCTGCTGATTTGGTTGGAGGCACGTGAAGCCACAAGGACTCCCATATAGCTCTCCCAGGCTTGACAAGCTTTGTGAGACTGTCCTGAGTGGAAACTTGTTTTCATGGGGACTATCAGCAGGGGCGCATTGCAAGGACCCAGGGTGTGCTTGGTGTTGAGTAATAGTATTCTTTGCCTGATCCCATGTTACCAATTTTATGTGAGACCTTTGCTTTCCCCCAAGAACACGTGACTGGGATAAAAATGTTATCTATTGCATCTTTCTTTTTTTATGAATTTTTATTGTGACAAAATATACATAGTATCAATTTCACCATTTTAACCATTTTTCACTGTACAATTTAGTAGCATTATGTACATTCAAATTATAGTGTAACCATCACCATTGTCCTCCTCCTATTGCTTTTTGAGAGCATATTTGTGTTTTGTTTTGAATGCTGTGAGCTTGCTTTCTGCATTGGCTGGATTGTGGAAGAGAGCAAGGAGAAAGAGCTTAATAAACACTAACTAATAACAACAATCAATGGAACAGGGAAAACTAAAGAGAAATCAAGGCAAAAGCTCTCGGAGTGATTGCTTGGAGTGCAGATTAGAAATGTGTTTGCCGCAGGTCAGGGTGGAGAAAAGAAGCCACCGTCATGTCACTCATTGCTGTGGGGCACTGGGCCCCCTCTGTGTGATGTTGACGAGACCAAGCCTAGAATATTGGATATAGTTCTGGACTCTCAGAGTAATAAATATGGAGACGAATGGGTGAGAGTTTGGAGAAGAGCAATAAAAATGATTGAAGAGCTCAGGGGAATGATTTATGATGAAGGGATAGAACTCAATGCGGAGAACTTGGCCAGCTGATGACTAAGTCAGGGCATGATAGATGCCCGTAGATGTTAGGAGAGGGCAAATGTTCTGGAACGGGTTGAGGTTGAGGGATAAGGACAAGAGAGAATGAAGGTAGAGAAAGGAACTCTGAGTCACGGGTCAGAAAGCCTGGGGAAGTCAGAATGCCATGAAATGTTTCTGTTAGTGAAATTGAGGGATTGCTCCTTTTCCACTGAACTTGAGACCCTGTCAGAGAGGCTGTCCACAAAAGTCAGAGAAAGGTGTTTGTAGGAGGGTGAATGCAAATGAGGTGGCATGTTGTGGAAAGACTGGCCAGGAGGGTAGAGGACTTGGCTAGCAGATGCCCTTTAGGGTCTGAATGAAGAGGGTCTCTGAAATGTTTGCATAGCTTCTGGGGAGCCAGGGTTTTTGCTTATGGAGGACTAGAATCTCAGTTGGCTGTGATTCTTATTGAGTAAAATATTGTAAAGGGTGATGGATAACCAGCTCTCTCTCTCTTAGCCTGCAAACTTCTTACTGAAGAAAACAATGGCAAAATGTCATTTCGCTTTCTGCCCTGCATGATCCATGCTGGCTCTCTGCAGTGATTGGATTTGGTGGCTAATGACTCAAGCCTCCACATCCTTTGCCTTGTAGACAAATCATGTGTGGATGGGCCTGACCTCACTTGGTAATTGCACACGACTTTGTTGTTCCCTCTGGCTGTGTGTAGAGACAGTCTTTAGGATGTAGACAAAAGCCTCCAGGGAAATGGCGGAAGCTCCACGTTGGTGTCATTTAAAATAATACAGGCTGCCGAAACCGGTTTGGCTCAGTGGATAGAGCGTCGGCCTGCGGACTGAAGAGTCCCGGGTTCGATTCCGGTCAAGGGCATGTACCTGGGTTGCGGGCACATCCCCAGTAGGAGATGTGCAGGAGGCAGCTGATCGATGTTTCTCTCTCATCGATGTTTCTAACTCTCTATCTCTCTCCCTTCCTCTCTGTAAAGAATCAATAAAATATATTTAAAAAAAAAAAATAAAAAAAAAAATAAAATAAAATAATACAGGCTGAAGCACTGAGGTACTGACTGACAGGAACATTAGCCCCAGGAAACAGACAAGGAGACCTAATCTGTCATTTCTATCTCTAATTCCCATTATTCTCTGATCATCACTGTCTACGTGGTCTCATTTTGGACACTAATAAAATAATGGAGCAATTGTTGGCGGGGGGTGACTATCTTCAGGATAATGGAACCAGAGTGATAAGCAGCATGAGTTTATGTGTATATAAAATAGTGCCAGACAGATGACTGCATTTTCCTCATAAAATGACAAGATAAATGAAAAGTGGAAGATGTCATACATCTTTATTTAAATCACAGACTCGATGCCACGCTTCCTTAAATGATTCTTACAAAAGTAATCTAAATTGATTTGAAGGGGAAGACTGTCACCTGACTTGATAACTGCCTGACAGATTGCCAACTAATGATACGTATTGGGGTATGATGGGAAAATCAATGGTAGGCCTCCTTTTCCTGAATATTTTATTTAACATTCCAGAAGGTGGAGGTAAGCAGCATGTGTGAGTATTTATGTTTTCACTTAGTATTCTCAGATTGCGTACATTAAAACAGCTGAACATTCTTTTGAGAACTGGCAGATCCTAGGCTAGTAATAGTTCAAAGGAATTCCCTTGGGAAAAATCTTGGTTAATATACCTAGGGAAAGATAGCAATAAGCATTCATGACTTTTAGACAAGGAGGAAAATTGATCAAGGACATAATACAAAAAAATTATAAATGGGGCACAGGAGTTTCACCTTTATTCAGCTTCTGCCTCATGCTCCGGTTTATCTGGACCCACATGTGAGGCTGTTTGTGTGCATGTGAATGCATGTGTATGCATGTGTGTGTGTGCCTGCACACACTGGTTTGTTTATAGAAAGCCTTTCACCAGTACATGCCATTTATTCTCTTGCTCATTCGTGTTTTTAACACAGATTCATTCCATTACCTATTGTAGCCATGAATAAACTAGGTTACTAATTATAAGAAGGAAAATGTGATGTCTGCTGTGGAAGAACTAGTATCTAGATAAATGGGCACACAAGAAAAAATTACAGTGAATTATAAGAACTGTTAATGGGGAGCAAAGGTCTGTGGGATTATGGCTTCAGGGGTAATTTATGTGAGGTGGGAGAATCTGGAATGGGCTTCATGGAAAAGTTAGATTTTGAAGTCCTCTATTGAATGGAAACAAAGGTAGTGCTAGGCCGAGGGAACAGCCTATGTTAAGGCAGGGAGACAGAAGCAGCATGGTTTTCTAGGAATGGCAAGTAAACAGCTCAGTGTGGCTTAAGAGTACGGTTTACAGAGGCAGGAGAGGCTGAGAAGGTGGGGAGGACTAGATCTCCACAAGCTCTTGCTCTTGGACATTGAAGCTCTGGGCACAGGCCTCCAGAATTGGTAGCAGGATGGAGAAGTTCCAAGGTGTCTGTATATTTTGTGGGGTATTTTCTTACATTGTGTTTCTGAACCCCTCAAAATAATTTAATCCTAAAAAGAAAACAGAAACTACAGCTAACACATATAAAACCTCTTGAGACTATCTAAATTTTTATTGATCTGGATTCTATAAGTAAAGTATAGACCTAAAATTACCCTGTAGATAAAATTTGTTAAGACAAAATAGCAAATAATGACAGAACTGGGGACCATATGTGCAAGGCATGTGAATCAAATGGGTTGCAACCATTTTTGCTGACTCTTGTTCTGCCAAAAACGGCCAAGGAGAAGCTAGGAGGGTGAGGCATTCACATGGGTATCTGGGTGGGGAGCCAGTCACTGTAGCTCACCCAGGTGACAGGATTCAGGTGGAAGCTTGTAAAGTCACTGAGCTCCTTACACAAGAAGCTCCTATTCACTAAAAGGAAAAATAGCATCAAAAGGATATAATAAAGTTATGGGTGACATTTCTCGTGAGTTATTAAAAGAACATGCATGCTTGAAGTTATATCCTTGGTTCATGAGGTTGGCAACAAAATTATTTCCTGCCACAGCAACCTGGCGACTCTGCTGCCTGACAGAGGGCCAGGATGGAAGGGTCCTTCCCCAGCCCTGGGCTTTGCCATGTGTCGTCTAACCTGTGTGAATTCACTGAACATCACCTAGGCCTCTCATCTCCGTGGCTGCGTACACACAGCCAGGGCCAGTTAGGGTCTCTTTGATATTTGTTTTCTAGAGCAACAAGGACAAATTGAAATTTTTCACAGATGAGAAGTGAAAACAATAAATGAGGGTGGAGGAGGCAAAAGAGATTGATATGAAAATATTAGAGGAGGAAAAACAAATTTATTTAGCTACTTTAGAGAATATTAAGGAAGACTATACTAGTGGTTTTTTGTTAAATTAAAAGTGTACCCAAGGGCCTCTAGATAACATTTTCCAGAACACCGGTATTAGATTAAATTCATGCATGTGAAGATTCCCGGTAAATAATAGTCTGATTTCTTATTCTGGCATCTCCGATACAGAGGGCAGCTCCAAGGAGATTCCGCCCGAGAGACCTATCGCATATCACTCGCTTTCCGTGCTGAAGGATGGTGATAGAGCGATAATTCATGAGAGGGGGAGGGCCCTGCTGTGGGAAATGAACAGGTATTTCTCCAAGGTGTTAGGAGCTGATGTCAGGAAAGGCCCTGCTCATCAGCACACCTCCTCCTCATACCGCCTACTCAGGAGGCAACACAATTTCCATGATGTCTCCAGATTAGTGCACATGCACACACATGGACACAGGTGCACACACACGTATGCATATATACACACACAGACACAGCCCACGCTGCC